GATGGATGGATGGATGGATGGATGGATGGATGGATGGATGGATGGATGGATGGATGGATGGATGGATGGATGGATGGATGGATGGATGGATGGATGGATGGATGGATGGATGGATGGATGGATGGATGGATGGATGGATGGATGGATGGATGGATGGATGGATGGATGGATGGATGGATGGATGGATGGATGGATGGATGGATGGATGGATGGATGGATGGATGGATGGATGGATGGATGGATGGATGGATGGATGGATGGATGGATGGATGGATGGATGGATGGATGGATGGATGGATGGATGGATGGATGGATGGATGGATGGATGGATGGATGGATGGATGGATGGATGGATGGATGGATGGATGGATGGATGGATGGATGGATGGATGGATGGATGGATGGATGGATGGATGGATGGATGGATGGATGGATGGATGGATGGATGGATGGATGGATGGATGGATGGATGGATGGATGGATGGATGGATGGATGGATGGATGGATGGATGGATGGATGGATGGATGGATGGATGGATGGATGGATGGATGGATGGATGGATGGATGGATGGATGGATGGATGGATGGATGGATGGATGGATGGATGGATGGATGGATGGATGGATGGATGGATGGATGGATGGATGGATGGATGGATGGATGGATGGATGGATGGATGGATGGATGGATGGATGGATGGATGGATGGATGGATGGATGGATGGATGGATGGATGGAATGGATGGATGGATGGATGGGGTCTGACCTGACCAGAAAAATTTCTGCCACAAGCTTGGAAAATGACCAGAACATTTCACTCATGCTCCTCACGATCTTCACACACACTTTCACTGATTACTACTACTACCATTACTCGTCCACTTAACCCTTTCACACCTGCTGGCCTGCATTTCCACTCCTTTTTTCATCATTGCCACCTCAGTGTTGTCTTATGAATTGCCACAACCTACATAAAGAAACACAATCTTTCACTGATGACGATCTTCCCAGAAATTTCAAACAAACAGGAAACAAATACTATCAGCAAGTGCACATACCCATATACTTAACCCTTTCACACCTACTGGCCTGCATTCCCACTCATTTCATTCCAACTGCCTGCCAGCTTGCTGTTGTGTTTTGATCCTGTTCTTGAAAGAAAGGATGAATTAAATCCTCAAACGTCCAATGAAGTTATTACAGTGTAGTCTCTGAAAGATACACTCTCTGGAAACGCCTGCTCCTCAGATTCTCATTTCTCACCCCTGAGGATGCTTCCTCAGTGGAAGATGGATGGATGGATGGATGGGACTCGATTTTGTCCAGACAGGAAAACCTCACAAACCTCACTTTCTCCCACAAGACACCGGCTACATGAAAGACCCCAATCTTTCACTAACAGATTTCACTGATGGATGATGATCTTCCCAGAAATGTCACCTCACATACTTAACCCTTTCACACCTAGTGCACTGCATTTCCACTCCTTTCATTCTAAATCCTTGCCGCCTCAGTGTGGGGGGGTTGTGTGGAATAACCTGTCCTGTTCGTGAAAGAAAGGATGAATTAAAACCTCAAACATCCAATGAAGCCACTCGAGTAACACAGCTCCTAACTTATCTGTTCAGAAAGAGACAGAAAGACACTCGTGCACAGCCATATCTGCACATGGGCTCAAGCCTTGTCTTTGGGGCTTTTTCCTTTCCTCTTCCACTCCTGTTCCCCCTTCCTAATGCAGTTCCCAGGTGTAGGCTTGAAACAGGCTTCACTTCTGGCAGGTTCATCCGTCATGGGCAGCTCTCAACCTTTCCCTCCAAAATTCCCACCTGGTAGGGATGGAGCGAGCAACCTCCCCCCTCCTGCTTTGGAGGCTGCTGTTCTGCACAGTGTTTGTTACAGGTCTTGGGGGTTTTAGCTTTGTTCCCTTGCAGAGTTACCTTTGAACTGGCTCAGGGCAGAGGAGGATTAAGGCGCAGGCACCTCTTTGCTGTTCAGGCCTGCCAAGGCACATGCAGCCCCTGTGACCATCACTGCGCTCTGTATGTGCCAATCTGAGAGGGGCTGTGCTCTCTGATATGGGTACGTCCCTCCACATCCCCATTATCACAGCTCAAATACACAGCTCGGGGAGGAAGAAACTCTGTTGGATTATCTATTCCATGTCTGGATCTCCTAAAAAAGGAGGACTGTGGCCTCTTCTTCAGCAGCGGCAGCACACTGAGTGCAGTATTAAACCTGAGGGCCGCTATGCGCTCAGCACCAGGACCAAGACAACCTGCCTTAGCTGGCCCAAAGCCTCACCTTTGTTATCAGGCTGGCAGGAGGTGCACTCAGAAGACTCCTTGAGTCTCCGAGCCCTGCAGAAGGTTTTCCCCACACTTCTTTCCCCCTTTGTTTTGCTCCAGGGCCTCCCCGCACACACTCAGCTCGATTCTGGAATGCACTGCTGCATTTCAATGCAGTTCCAAATTCTAGTGACAAATAAAAGCTAGACCAGGCTGTTGCTATTGTTCTGATGCAAGCCGAGGTTTCTTGCTTGACAACTGATAAAAGTCATTAAATCAGTTGATCCAAGCACACTTCTTCAAGCAAAAGTGTTCAGGCCTGACCTGAAGCTAGCCTTTGCTGTAAGACAGAGGCATGCTTTTTTCTTAGCTGCAAACAGAACCCTGAGTGTTCCCAAGCCAAGGAAAGGCATCAGATGCTCCTGACTTCTGCAGAACATGCATTACTGGATATAAGAAAGAGTCTCAACTGACATTCCAGCAGTAACCTCTCACTCTTCCTCTGAATAAGGTACCAGAGGCCTGTGTATGCATAAACCATGAGCATGGACACTCAGACAGAGGTTCAAGAAGGGACTTAGCATGTTACTCACGTCTTGCACAGTCTGTATGAACGGATCTTTCCATTCGAATACCACAAAAAACAGCTGGTCGCTTCTGGGTTTAGTTCTCTGGTCGATGTAGTTCACCACGCTGGTCTGGGGAGAGGGGAAAAGAGGAAACAAAGGTGCAGGTTATCTGCTGCAGTGGTGCGATGAGTTTGCTGTGCAACAGAAGAAGGTGAGAAGAGCAGACTGCTCAGGCTCTTCCAGTTTAGCCTTCCTCTACCTGGAACAGCAGCTCTCAAACTATGGGAAGGGATGTTTCTTCCAGCTCTTGGTCATACTTGTTTCCTGTTTCTCAGCACTGTAACTCTCAGAGTACATGGGAGCTTTACCACCTTCTGCTTACTGGTCCAGCCCCTTTGGCTGCAGCTCTACCCTGTATTTCTACACCTCCTCTATTTCCTACAGTGGACCAGCACCCCAACTACACTCAGCCGAGAAAACTGCACACCAGGAAACAAGGAGTACACAAAGCTAACTGAAGGCAATGGGAAAGGAAGGAAACACCAACTGGTGACTCCTGGGCTGGTCAGCAGACTGACCGACTGTGCTATGTGACCTAGTATCTGTACCCATCTTCCTGGTATGGCATCTCCCAGCTTTAGATGGGAGAGGTTAATGGACTTACACAATTTGAGCAGACTCAAACAAAGCAAAGTGCAATTTATACCTGAGCTCTTTCAGCTTCTACCATATTATTAACAGGCATCTGATTCCTATTTCCTAGGTTTTATTAAAAACCAAAGCAACCAACCCACAAACCAAACCAAAAACCCACCCAAAACCAACGCAGCATTCACCTACTGCTCAGAGCCTGTAACTGCTGGACTAAATGGGTGTCTGTGGTCCCCAAAAGCTCAGCTTTTTCTGAGTTTGACTCAGTTTGTTTCCACTTTGACCCATGTTCAATTGGGCACTGCTCTCCCCTTAAGGCTTTGTCACATAATTCCCTACCAGTGAGAAGTGAAGATTTCTTCTGCTTCACTTTGATCTCCACAAAGTGCTCCTTCCAAGCGCACCGTGGACTGAGATAAAGTGTAGTCTCTGAAAGATACACTCTCTGCAAAGCTCTGCTCCTCAGAGTCTCATTTCTCACCCCTGAGGATGCCTCCCCTCCAACCAACACCGAGAGCAAGGTAAAAAACCAAAACCTCAACTCTTTTCCTGTCCATTACTGTGGAAAGAACAGGAATGAAAGTCCAAGTCACTTCACCTCCAGCTAAGTTCATATCTCCCACCTGCATGTTTTCTAGTTCTAAATGATGCAAGCAGTTCGAGTTCCACCATGCTTCTAAGCATACTCAACGCTTAAAAATCCCAAACCCAAACAACAAGCAGACACAAGAATGCTACAAAAGATACAAGGCTTATATTTACCTCTTCATCCTCACATCTGCCCTTGTGATAAACAATTGCTGTTATTTAGGCAGTTCCTTTAGCAGTTGTTCCCCACCTTGATCTAAAGGATGCCGTGTCAATACTTCTCCATTGGCCTCTTCAAGCCCTTACCTCAGACTACAGGCATCCCCTATAACACCACATTCAAGGCCTGCATTTTCTGGCCTCCCCGTTAGGAGGTGTTTTCCTGAGGTGTTTCACAAAGCCACACCAAGACATTGAGGCTTTTACAGAACCTCTCCATGTTAAGAATGCAAGTAACTGTACAGCCAACCCTGCTCCCTGGTGTAAGGTGCAATGGATGCAGTGAAACAAAACCCAAGCTCCTGATGCTTCACTCAACCAGCCAACCCACCCCTGTTCCAACTCATATTGTGTGTGCAGCAAGAACTGGTTCAGGTGGCCAGTTAGCATTGGAATTGTTGCAGTCACTAGTTCATAGCAAACTAAGGTGTCCCCAAACCCCTTGGTGGTTGGTTGGGTTCGGTTTCTTACCTCTTGTTTGAATTCGACAGTCTCACTGCCATCTTCTTCTTTTGTTTTCACCAAGGACATCTTGACCCACGTTCGGAAGCCTCCGGAAAACTTCCAGCTTGAATATGAACTTTCACAATCCTTCATGAATTCTGCTTTTTCTGGACTAAAGGAAAAAGACCATTACTTCACTGACCGAGCTGGGGAGGTCCTGCTGCAGGCAGGAGGATGTCAGACCTACAGGCACTTCAAAGCACGTTCAAAACCCAATTGCTAAAACTCAGCAGATCTAAACCACTGTGAGCAGCACCTGCACTTGGGTTCTCAACTGCAGGAGAACATGAGTTACCTGGTGCCCTATCAGCACCCTGGGTTCTGCCTCCTCCCAGGGGTTGTTCTGCCTTACAGGGGGGTTCATTCTGCTCGTCTCTAGAACAAAAAGCAGAGCCAAGACCCCAGGAACGACTCACAACATTGCAATAGGTGGAAGGAAGAGCCCAGAGCAGGGCAGGCTGCTTCCTCCCATTTCTGGGATGCCAATGAATGGCTGGCAATGCAGGCATACTCAAAATGCTTTGACAATTGTATTTGGTGTATTCCCATTATTTTGGTGTTATTTCTGCAATACCATGGCTGTTTTCCCAGTAGCCCCAGAACAGCAGGACTGCTTCGTGCCTTGTTTTTAAATACAGTGAGCATAAGCCCTTTTAAGGCTTCCCTCATGCTGCAAGTGGCAAGGAGGTAGCTCCAAGGCGTATCTGGTCTCCATCCTTCTCTAAAACCTGCACAGGACACAGGGAATGAACTGTGCTGTTTACTTGCAGCTCCTCGGCACTGGGATTTCAGCCACATTCACATCATCTCTATGAAATAAGCCTGGCCCTGCAGCTGCTTTTCCAAGAAGGTTTCCTTTGAAATGAAGGGGGAAACCACTGCAATGAGTCATGAACCATTAGAGCACAGAGCTGGCCTGTACTAAACATGGATTTCAGGCTGCAGAGATACATCAGCATCCTCGAGACACGGGAAAGGGCTTTGACTCGGAGTAAATCCATCTTCCTAGGTAAAGAGTATAATTTGCTTCTACGACAGAAGGTCATAGAATCACAGACAGGTCTGGGCTGGAAAGAACCTTCAGATCATGCAGTTCCAACCCCCTCCCCACAGGCAGGGACCCCTTCCACTGGAGCAGCTTGCTCCAAGCCCCTGTGTCCAACCTGGCCCTGAGCACTGCCAGGGATGGGGCAGCCACAGTTTCTCTGGGCACCCTGTGCCAGCGCCTCAGCACCCTCACAGGGAAGAGCTTCTGCCTTAGATCTAACCTGAACTTTCCCTGTTTCAGTCTGAACCCATCACCCCTTGTCCTATCGCTGCAATCCCTGATGAAGAGTCCCTCTCCAGCATCCTTGTAGCCCCCTTCAGACACTGGAAGCTGCTCTGAGGTCTCCACTCAAATCCCGTCTTGACCTTTCTGGAAAGCCCCACACTTTTTACGTGCTTTGGGAGAATCAGTTTCATACTTGAATTTAAATTAAAGCAAAAATTAAGTAGTTAAGTACTGTTCTCTCTGTGATCCAGATTAAAAGCTAGTCAAGGTATTAGTCACAGTGAGACCTAATAGAAAGCCTTCACTTGGTAGTAGTCAGATGGTCAGTGAAAAAGGGACGGGGATAAAAGACATAAGCAGAACAGAATCAGGTGAGGTTCTCCCAGGCAGCTTACAGACAGTTCTTACCAGTTCACCTACACTGGCATAAACATGGTCTTGAAGCTAGGACTTTGCTGGACTGCTTCCTGCTGTCTTGCATGCCCATCCTGTCTGTGCAGAACATGTGGCACAGGTGTTTGGGACAGCAGCATGCAGACTTGCTGCTTGCCTGCAGAAATACTGCCAGCTTCAATAGGACATGCATGTTTTAACTTGGGAAGAAGCAGCTCTTTAAAACAGCTTATGTGCAAACTGATACAGTGAGCACAGAAACAGGGCTTCCAAGACTTGGTTGTATGCACAGACCAAGCTGTGTCTTGGCAAGTTGACTCCTTCTGCAAAGAGCCAAGAACCAGATGCAACACACCTGTGCCTTCTGCTCTGGGTTTCCCGGGGTTGTGTCTCAGTGCTTGTGTCCTGCAGTACAGAAAGAGCTGTGCATCTTGCTGTGCATACCGCTACCTGCAGCACAGGCCACAGAACCTGAGGAAAACAGCACAAGAAGAACAGGTCGCACCTTTTACACCGCTACTCTTAACCGGTATTTTTTCACCCTAAAACATCAATGCTTAAAATACCTGGCACATTAGCATTATATAAGGTGTCTTAGTACAGTTCTAGAAAGCATTTAATGACTTAAGAGCTCTCCTTCACTGAAATAAGAATGCTTTGCAAAAAGCCAATTCATATAATTGGTCTCTGGCCACCCAGAGCTACTGTGACTGAACGCTTCCAGTCTTTGCTCCATCTGAAACACACCAGTACCATCATGTCCAGGACTCCAAAAATGCTGTTTTACATTAAAACCTGCTACTTCTCTTCCTCTCCTCACCTGTCCAGACAGCCAAAACACAGTTTCCACCAAATCCTCAAAAAAACCCTCCTTTACTGACCAGAACCCAGAAAAGAAAAAACTCTCTCACTGACACCTGAAAAAAACAACAATCTTTCACCAATAACAATGCTGCAAGAAATTTAACTGCCCCAAGCAGACACCATATAAAGACTATCAGCAAATGCACATACTCACATACTGAACCCTTTCACACCTAGTGCACTGCATTTCCACTCCTTTCATTCTAAATCCTTGCCGCCTCAGTGTTGGGGGGGTTGTGTGGAATAACCTGTCCTGTTCGTGAAAGAAAGGATGAATTAAAACCTCAAACATCCAATGAGGCCACTCGAGTAACACAGCTCCTAACTTATCTGTTCAGAAAGAGACAGAAAGACACTCGTGCACAGCCATATCTGCACATGGGCTCAAGCCTTGTCTTTGGGGCTTTTTCCTTTCCTCTTCCACTCCTGTTCCCCCTTCCTAATGCAGTTCCCAGCTGTGGGCTTGAAACAGGCTTCCCTTCTGGCAGGTTCATCCGTCATGGGCAGCTCTCAACCTTTCCCTCCAAAATTCCCACCTGGTAGGGATGGAGCGAGCAACCTCCCCCCTCCTGCTTTGGAGGCTGCTGTTCTGCACAGTGTTTGTTACAGGTCTTGGGGGGTTTTAGCTTTGTTCCCTTGCAGAGTTACCTTTGAACTGGCTCAGGGCAGAGGAGGATTAAGGCGCAGGCACCTCTTTGCTGTTCAGGCCTGCCAAGGCACATGCAGCCCCTGTGACCATCACTGCGCTCTGTATGTGCCAATCTGAGAGGGGCTGTGCTCTCTGATATGGGTACGTCCCTCCACATCCCCATTATCACAGCTCAAATACACAGCTCGGGGAGGAAGAAACTCTGTTGGATTATCTATTCCATGTCTGGATCTCCTAAAAAAGGAGGACTGTGGCCTCTTCTTCAGCAGCAGCAGCACACTGAGTGCAGTATTAAACCTGGGACCCGCTATGCGCTCAGCACCAGGACCAAGACAACCTGCCTTAGCGGGCCCAAAGCCTCACCTTTGTTATCAGGCTGGCAGGAGCTGCACTCAGAAGACTCCTTGAGTCTCCAAGCCCTGCAGAAGATTTCCCCACGCTTCTTTCTCCCCTTTGTTTTGCCCTTTCATAGCACGATTCCCTATGGGTCTATGGCAACTGGCTCATCCAAGCTGGACACCAGGACAGGCTGGTGTTGCTGCTGCTGGGTGGTATTTTAGCATGGGGCCCTTACCGTGTCTGCAGCACTGTCACGAGAGCTGGACCTGATCCAGGGGTGCCAAGAGGTGGGGGACGGCAGCTGAGAGATGGCTGAAGTAGCATGGAGCAGAGATGTGACCAGGGAAATTTCCTTAGGCAGTAACTTCAGCATAAGCTACCACCTCCGCACCAAACTGCTGCCACGAGAGTAAAGAATCCTGTAACTATAAATCAGAAGTAACATCATTTAAAGAACTGTCTCATAAATGCTTATTTTTATCTCAGCAATTTGGCTCACTGTAAGGTAAAGCCTCCCACATCCCTGAGCCCTTAAAGCAACCTCAACCCTTCCAGCTGAAAAACCACCAGCTGCATCTTCTTTTCCCTGTCACTTGCCTTTTAAACGCATTTCCCAACAGCGTACATAGATGCTTCTGGTCTTCTGCTGTCAGTTCCAGTTGCTCTATTTTTTGCCACCTAAGTTTGGAAACGCAGATGCAGGAATGGAAGTCCTGTGGGCCATAAAGATTAATTAATATTGTCACAAAAGCCCTGCTTATCCAGTTCAGCCTGCACAGCTCACAACCCAAGCTATGTTCGCACCGGCTTGCCCGCACTGATTCACTTCAGCCACCCAACCATACGGAAAGGGTTTAAGTCCCTGTGGATAGTCAGGCACTTTCACTACCTGCAGCCTGACTGCTGCAGGGGAGGTGTGTGCCACAGGGAGCCTGTTTCATTGAGCTGGGACGCATGTACTGTGGGTTACTTACACTTACCCTGTAAGCGGCCCTGAGTGTGATGAAAGGTGGATCAGCCTAACTTGTGGTCAAAATTAGCCTGTTAAATCCTCACGTTAGTAACCTGCTCTCCCACAGACCTTTCTGACTGCCAGCATAAAGAAGGAGGAGATTTTTGAGCATCTATCTGAAACTAGGCTTCATGCCCCTGACTAACACCACTGTGTAGCTCTCATCATTACCTGTGCTGGGCACCGAGGGCCTCTTTCCTCCTGGAGCACCAGTTTCCAGGGCCAGACAGACCATGCACAGCAATCACAGTTCCTTGAGGAAAATGGTGCCACGTGGCTGGAGGACTGACACGGCTAAAGCCTGACGGAGCTGCACTGAGGCTACCCCAAAGCCAGGCTTTGACCCTCTTCAGCTCGCTCTCCTGTGCAGTGTAAAGTACATGGGTCAGATCCATTAGACATTCCCTTTTCCTAGGTACTGGTGGCATACCTGAAAGCCTCTCGGACTCGGAGCTGCCAGGGCTTGCCTGCAGGGATTCGGACGTGTGGCCTGAGTTGGTCCATCCGTAGTATCTCAGGCATAAGGTGCCAGCGGCAGTTCGGATTCATCTCTGATGATGCTCTGGCAGGACCTGAATCGATGTGACTGCATTTTCTGGTAGTGGAAATCTCCATACAACAGTTTTGTCTTCCTCTTCTCTTCCTTTTACATGC